AAGAGGGTCCCCCTCTGGGCACACTTACGAAAAAGAAGAAAAGGGGAAAGGATAGAGAAGAAAGTAGTCTGCATATTTCATTAAAAAGAAAAGCTTCAAGAAGAGACAAAATAGGGCAGAGCTTTCTTCGTTCTCTCAGTCAACACACGTCCAGAACAGAGAGCAAAAATGGAAGCGAGAACGAGAGGAGAGAGGGGCAGAGAGTTTGGGAGTGAATCGGAAAAGGGATAGCTTTCCGCGTTTGCTCGCCGTCCGTCTGAGTTGCCGTCGGCCCCCGTCGAGTCTCCAACAGCCGTGATTCATCCCGGTCAGCCCTGAACCAGGTGGGCTCTCTTGATCTTCCCCTGTTTTGAGTCCCAGTCCCCTGCCTTTCGAGTGCCGAGCACAACGAATCTATTCGGTGACCGCCCGGCCCCCACCAAAGGAGGATAATGCTTGTTATAAGTTCAAAGAAGTGTTCTTAAACGTTGTGTATCGAAGAGAACCCATGAATCGTGTCAAAATCAACCCAGAAAATCCATCTCTCAGTCCTCTCCCACGTATTTGTTAAAATGCCTCAAAGAAGCCCTTCAAGCTTCAAACGTTGGATCTGTGTGTGCCATTATTCAGCGTTCTTTTGCAAACCGTGACCACTTTGTTGCAAAATGTGATTGTGCAAAGCACCACACAGCACGTTTGAGCCATATATCACCTTGAATCTCGGCCTGAAGTTTTCGTTTGAACTCGCATACCACTCGTTTGATAAAATGCCTGAGTGAAGGCCCAAGCTAAAAAGAAACATGAAATCAATGCATAGAATCTTCGATATATGTTTTGTTCATTTAAGATTGATGTTTGGTCACTAACTCCTTGATTTCGTGTGATTTTATGGCATGTTAACTCCGGTATGAGTCGGTCATGTGTGCATTCCCTACCTGCCGAAAAGCTCTTCGTCGCCGGATCGATGCCCGTGGTTAGAGGCCGTTGCAGTCAGTTTCTCAACTTTGTTTTGTGTGTTTATGTACGTGTAGATTTGAGCTTTAGATCTGTTTGAGATTCGGAGAAAAAGGGGTAAGTCGACACCAACGTTCGGTCGCTCGCGTAATTTTTCATAGCCGGAGTTAGTTTATGGTTTGGTGGAGGCGGCAGCCAGCGGTGAGAGTGTGGGTCCAATGGCGGCCACCAGTGTTGGCGACGCGTGCCGACAGTCGGGGGTGAAGAGGTGGTCACGGCGTGGTCTCGACTGGATGCGTGGGGTGTTGAATTAGTCAAAGTATTTGTTTGTTTTTAAATAAAGCCTAGTTGGTTGTCCTAGTTTATAGGAATCTGTTGCTACACGTTTGTTGCCGCACACACGTTCAGGATAGTGGGTAGATAGTTCAGCATAGTGGGTCAATTGTTGTGGCTATTTTTCTGGGTTTTTCTGTTTGTGTATGGCCTATCTAAAAGGCTAAGTTGTTATTCAATTATGACGTATGAATGCAGAAAGCATTTCTCACGCGAGTACACTCTCTTCTCTTTGACTCTCTTTTCTGTGTTTTTTCCTTGTGCTTGCAAAGCACAGCCAGCTTATGCATTTTTTCTGTAACAGTGGTATCAGAGCCATTAAAGAAGGAAAAGTGAGTCAAAAACACGACAGGAAAAAGTGAGAGTGAAAGGCAGTAGCCAAAAAGTGAGCTTGAGTTGTAAACACGTGAGAAAAGATTTTTTCTTGGTATCCAGCAGCGGTGATGGCTTCATAAACCTTTGTCCAACCAGCTATTCCACGCTTTGATGGTCATTATGATCATTGGAGCATGCTAATGGAGAACTTCCTAAAATCCAAGCAATATTGGGATGTCGTTATCTCTGGAGTTGCCGAACCAGAAGAAGGAGCTACGTTGACAGCAGCACAACGGACGGCTCTGGAAGCAGCAAGATTGAAAGATCTCAAGGCCAAAAACTACCTTTTTCAGGCCATTGACAGATCTATCTTGGAGACAATTCTCTGTAAGGATACCTCCAAGCACATATGGGATTCCATGAAGAAAAAATATCAAGGTACCGCAAGAGCAAAAAGGCAGCAACTTCAAATGCTTCGTGGAGAGTTTGAGTTACTAAGAATGAAGTCGGGAGAGTCAATTACCGATTTCTTCTCTCGGACAATGGCAATTGTCAATAAGATGCGGATTCACGGCGATAAGACGGAGGATGTCACCATCGTTGAGAAGATTCTTCGATCTCTGACACCAAAGTTTAACTTTGTTGTCTGTTCTATACAAGAAGCCAAGGACATTGAAGAACTCTCAATTGATGAACTGCAAGGGTCGTTGTTGGTTCACGAACAAAATTTTCTTCAGCAAGAGCCGGAAGAGAAGGCGTTGAAGGCAACTACAAATCACTTTTCGTCAACAACAAGAACGAATAGTGGCAGAGGTAGAGGAAGGGGAACCAATGAACGTCGCAGTTTCAATCAAAAGCCTAATGGTCATTTTTCTCGTGATGCTCAAGGTGGAGGACGAGGACATGGAGGTCAACACTCAACTGTTTACAAACCAAGGTCAGTAGACAAATCTAGAGTAGAGTGTTTTAGATGCCATAGGTATGGACATTATAAATCTGAATGTCGTACCAATTTAAATACACAAAGCATGAAAAGGATTAATTTTGCGGAAGAAAAAGAAGAAGCAGTGTCTCTCCTAATGGTGTGTCAAGAAACGGAGAAAATTTCATCGAATCTGTGGTATATTGACACCGGTTGCAGCAACCATATGTGTGGAGACAAGAAGGCATTCTCTGCATTAGATGAGTCATTTCGCACCTCAGTCAAATTTGGAGACGACTTGACTGTGTCAGTTAAGGGTAAAGGGACAGTTGCAATTGTTCCTAAAGGAACCTCGGTTCAGATGATCAAAGAGGTGTTTTATGTTCCTGAGTTAAAGACCAACCTTCTAAGTGTTGGACAATTGCAAGAGAAGGGATATGAAATTACACTCAAAGGAGGTGTTTGCAGAATCCATGATGAGAAACAGCATCTAATTGCTCAAGTTAATATGACTGCCAATCGGATGTTCCCGCTGCATCTTCATGGCACCTCTCACTCATGTTTCTTTGCAAGATTGAAGGATAAAGCATGGTTATGGCATTTCAGATATGGACACCTCAACTTTGGTGGGTTGCGGACGTTACATCATAAGAAGATGGTGGAGGGACTTCCCCCAATCATGGCGCAGTCCGAAATATGTGAAGAGTGTGTTGTTAGCAAACAACACCGAGATCATTTTCCAAAAGGCAAAGCATGGAGAGCCAAGAAGCACCTCGAACTTGTCCATTCAGATATTTGCGGACCAATTTCCCCAATGTCCAATGGAGGCAAACGATATATCATTACCTTCATTGACGATTTCAGTCGGAAGGTTTGGGCTTACTTTTTGCAGGAAAAATCTGAAGCCTTTGAGGCCTTCAAGAGCTTCAAAACTCTTGTTGAAAAAGAGAGTGGAAATTCAATCAAAGTTCTCCGCACGGATCGTGGTGGCGAATATATTTCAACTACATTCGCATATTTTTGTGTGGAGCATGGGATTAAAAGACAACTCACTGCAGCTTATTCACCGCATCAGAACGGTGTTTGCGAAAGGAAGAACCACACTATTCTGAATATGGTGCGAAGCCTTTTGACGTCAAGTGGAGTTCCAAAAAGCTTCTGGCCGGAGGCAGTCAATTGGAGTGTTTATCTTTTGAATAGAAGTCCCACTCTCGCTGTTTTAAAGAAGACACCCGAAGAAGCTTGGAGCGGGAGAAGACCCGCAGTTGATTACTTCAGAATTTTTGGATGTCTTTCATATGTCCATGTTCCTGACCAGAAGAGGAAGAAGCTAGAAGATAAAGCAGAAAAATGTATTTTTCTTGGCATTAGTGATCATTCAAAAGCCTACAAACTTTATGATCCTATAACCAAGAAAATTACCATTAGCCGTGATGTGATCTTTGATGAAGAGAAATTCTGGTCATGGAGCGAGAAGAATGGTGGTGATTGTGGTGAACAAATTCCAGCAAACTTTGAAGATGATACTGAGTTGGAAAAGCAGCCCTCTACGAGTCAAGTCACCACAGAAAATGTTGAAAATTCAGCAGTTGCTGCAGCATCTGAAGAACGACCACAACGCATCCGACGGAGGCCAGCATGGATGGAAGATTATGAAGTATCGAGAGTTGAGCAAACCGAAGACCCACTGATCCATTTTGCTTTGTTTGCAGATAGTGACCCAACTACTTTTGATGAAGCAGTACAAAATAAAAACTGGAGAGTTGCAATGGATGCAGAGATCAAAGCAATTGAGAAGAATGGTACGTGGGAATTGACAGATCTTCCCAAAGGGCAAAAGACAATTGGAGTCAAGTGGGTATACAAGACGAAAATGAACAAGAATGGTGAGATTGAAAAGTACAAGGCGCGCTTGGTGGCAAAAGGTTACAAGTAGGAATTTGGAGTGGATTACAAAGAGGTGTTTGCGCCAGTTGCTAGACTCGATACAATCCGATTAGCGATTGCGCTAGCAGCACAGAATTCATGGTTCATCTATCAGTTAGATGTGAAGTCGGCATTTTTACACGGTGATCTTCAAGAACAGGTATTTGTTCATCAACCTTCTGGATATGTCAAGCCGGGTAATGAACATAAAGTCTATAAATTGAAAAAGGCTTTATATGGGTTGAAGCAAGCTCCAAGAGCTTGGTACAGTAGGATTGATGCTTATTTTTTGAAGGATGGATTTACAAAATGTCCATATGAGCATACGCTATTTATTAAGATTGGTCATGGTGGAAAATTGCTTCTAGTGTGTTTGTACGTGGATGATCTTATCTTCACAGGGAATGATAGTGTCATGATTGACACATTTAATAAATCTATTATGGAGGAATTTGACATGACTGATCTTGGGTTGATGCATTATTTTCTGGTCATTGAGGTAAATCAATCTGAAGCTGGAATTTTTCTATCTCAAAAGAAATATGTTGAAGAGATTTTAGAAAAATTCCAGATGACGCATTGCAATTCGGTAACCACACCAACTGAGGTTGGATTGAAGTTGTCGAAGGATCCTGATGGAAGAAAGGTAAATAGCACCTTCTATAAGCAAATCGTGGGGAGTTTAATGTATTTAACAGCTACAAGGCCAGATATCATGCATCCTGTAAGCCTTATTAGCAGGTACATGGAGAATCCAACTGAAAAACATTTGCAAGCTGCAAAGCGAATTCTTCGCTACTTGAGAGGGACTGCAACTTTTGGGTTATTCTATAAGAAGGGAGAAAAATCAGAGTTGATTGGTTTCACTAATAGCGATTACGCTGGTGATATGGATGATCGAAAAAGCACTTCTGGTTATGTATTTATGCTTGGTTCGGGGGCTGTCTCATGGTGTTCGAAGAAGCAGCCGATTGTTACTCTGTCAACAACTGAAGCTGAGTTTGTGGCTGCCACCTCTAGCGCTTGTCAAGCTATTTGGTTAAGGAAGATTCTTGGAGAGCTTCAATTTAAACAGGAAGATGCAACTACAATCTATTGTGACAACAGCTCAGCCATTAAACTCTCAAAGGATCCAGTTCTACATGGGATGAGCAAACACATAGATGTGAAGTATCATTTCCTAAGGGATCTCATGAAAGATAAAGTGATTGAACTTGTTTTTTGCAGGAGTGAAGATCAGCTTGCTGATTTGTTCACCAAGCCTCTCAAATTATCTGCATATCAGAAGCTAAGAAAGCTTCTTGGTGTTTGTTCGTTGGAAGCTGCAGGTTAAGGGAGGGCTGGATTTAGTCCTTTTAAACTGATTGTTTGCAACATCAGTTTAAGGGAGGGTGTTGAATTAGTCAAAGTATTTGTTTGTTTTTAAATAAAGCCTAGTTGGTTGTCCTAGTTTATAGGAATCTGTTGCTGCACGTTTGTTGCCGCACACACGTTCAGGATAGTGGGTAGATAGTTCAGCATAGTGGGTCAATTGTTGTGGCTATTTTTCTGGGTTTTTCTGTTTGTGTATGGCCTATCTAAAAGGCTAAGTTGTTATTCAATTATGACGTATGAATGCAGAAAGCATTTCTCACGCGAGTACACTCTCTTCTCTTTGACTCTCTTTTCTGTGTTTTTTCCTTGTGCTTGCAAAGCACAGCCAGCTTCTGCATTTTTTTCTGTAACATGGGGGAGGCCTCGGTGAAGAACAGTATGAAGAAGAGGATATTCTGGGTAGAAGGCACGAAGGAGGAAAGGAAGACCAGAAAAGACAAAAGAGAAAAAAGAAACAAAAAAAAGGAAAGAAAAAAAAAAGAAAAGAGAGAAAATAGGAAAAGAAAAAAAAATCAGAAAAGAAATAGGAAAAAGATCCCGAGCGGGTCAGAGAGAGTCGGGTCAGGTGTCGGGCGGATCGGGTCAAGGGACCCGGTCCGGAATCTTTATTTTATTAATAAAAATATAAAAAAATATTTTAAAATTAAAAAATTCGAAAATGTTTAGTAGTAAAAAAAATTAAAAAGTCTGAAAAACATTAAAAAAATGCAGAAAATTCAAAAATTCAAAAAAAATTCAAAAAATTTCGAAAAATAAAAACGTTATTTGGGATTTGGAATTGGTTTTTCTTGCCCTTTTGTGTGATTGGTATCTTGTTTGATTACATGTTGCTTGATTCACACACTTTGAAATGCTCGTTTAATTTAACCTCGTATGTGGTTGATTATGCATGTTGGGTTCATGTGTTGATTGTTGATTTCCTTAGCTTGGTTAGGGATGGAATTTTGAGATTCCCAATTAGTGTGAACATGTTAGGCGGTGATTGAATAAGGTTAGGTACCGAAAGGATATTAGTTGGTCAATTAGTGTAATCAAGTTCCCGTACCCATTGAGTCTCTGGTTCGTAGAAGTGAAACATTTCTCCCGTGCTTTACTTGGGTGTCTGATCGACTTACCAAAAACTGATTAGTGGCGATTCCTAGATGAAATTGATTCCCCTGTTAATAACTCAAAATCTATGTCGCGAATTGGTGTAGGCTTGGGAGAGCTCGAACTAGGTTTAAACTTAGTAATTCATTAGCCAAATCCCTTAGGCGGCGAGCGCCGGTTTGGGGAGGTCGCGACAATATTTTATCTAATTCTGGATAAAAAAAAAAGATGATCCAACATTTGGCAGTCAATGCATTTGTCTCCTTCTGTACCACAGTATCAAGACTCCTGCGAGCTTGTCCTCACAGAATCCCATCTTTTACCCTCCCCTCCTAGTCTAGGAATTTATCTTAGTGAAGTTAATGCCAAGCAAAATTTGTTCTCTTCTTTTCTTTTTATTTCTAACTCATAGTAAACTGCACAACTGAAGCAAATGACTCAAACAAACCTGATTGCTCCGCCGAGACCGACAGAGATCATGTAGACCATCCAACAAGTGTTGAGGCTGCAAAATTGAAGGTATGAACGTAGTTCTAAACTTCTCATTCCACGAAAATACAAATTCTTTCAATTCATACCTAATTGATAACACAGACGTCTCTAGTTTCGTATTTGGCAGAAGACCCGATAGACGAACGACCAGCTCGAAGGACCAGTACTCGAAACTGCGAAAGAAAGTAAATCAAGAGACAAGTAATGTGAGTAAACTAGTTCAACGCTAGGACTCTCACTTCTGAAATAGGGGACTTAGATTAATACAGTCTGACCAACTATCATCAAAACGCTTCAAAAAAACCAAACAGCTACTAATCTTTTCTTTTGATCATAAATTTTGGCATCGCATTAGCAAACATAAGCACAAATAGGTACTCACCAAATCATAACTGCTGAAGGAACAGCAAGCTTGACGAAGCTAACAAGGTCAAGCAAGGCCTCTCTTGTGAAACCGGTCCAAGTTTTGATACAAGCTGGAGAGAGCTTCACGTAAATCGCCAACAGAATCACATTGTTCCAATTCGAAATCGTGTTCGCCAAAGCAGCTCCTCTTATTCCTAGTCCAAACTTAAAGATGAAGACCCAACAGACGACTATGTGAAGAGAAGCAATAACCAGAGAGCTCATCATCATCGGTAGAACGTTATTTTGCGTCTGCAAGAACCTGTTCAGACATTGGAGGAGGCCATACGCGAATAGACTTGGGATCATCCAACGGTTGAAAGTTCCCGCTTCCCTGGAAATCTCCAAGTTTTGGCCAAAAGCTACGAGAATGTCGGAGGTGTAGAGCCATATTAAGGTGGTAGAACCAGAAGATGAGAGGCGGATTAGACTTGAGAGGCAGCATTTGTTATCTTTGGTAAGATTAAAAACGAGCGTTTAAAACATGGATCCGATTCATCGATTCCCAGGGAAATGAATCGCATAATACTAGTTTCACTTTTTTAAGAATCGGGAAGTAACCGCAGGATCTGATCCTATAATCAGATCAATTCGGTTTCCGGTTTTATTCTAAATCCATGCACACTTCGGAGAAATTGACAAGTCGACATGAAGTCTCCCCTCAAATTGATACGTCCCAATACGACATTTCCTGTCAAAACCACGAGATGCGTTCGGCGTCGTTGACTCATGGTGTTGCATCCGTCCACGCCTTCGAGAGTACAGAAAAGGACAATGCCAGCTAGATCCATGCGAGAAAATCTTAGGTGGCTCTGGTGATTCCACCGTGGAGAAATCACAACTCTAAGATGACGACACCCTCTCTCTCTCTTCATTAATTGCCGTCACCTACTCTGTCCTTCTCCCGCTCGTGTTCCCCCCTCTCTCTTCTCTGTTCTTCCTCACAGGCTGCACGAAAGGCCTCTAACATTTTCTCTCTCTTTTACAAATTTCTCCCCCTCCCATGAGCGAGCCCGCCGGTCCCGAGCTCAGATCCGCCGCTTCCGGCACGTCGCCTCCGCCTCCGCCGTCGCCTCCAGGAGCCACTCCCTCAAGCCGTGAGCCCGCCGGTCGCATCCCGAGCTCAGATCCGCGCCTCCACCACGTCACCTCCAGTATCCAGCCCGCCGGTCGCAGCTGCTGTGAGTGTTAGAAACCCAAAGGTTAAGACTAATATTATTAAGGCAATGGGATGCTTCAGTGTAGGTTGCTTGGTCTAATGCTCGTTGTCTTCGTTTGCGCCTATATATATGTTCTATGGTATGGAACTTTGCACATTTTTATTCCATCGAGAGTGAGTTCAGAAATAACTGGTAATAATGACAGGTTTTAGAAGTTTCTGTTCGACTTTGATTTTCAGTTTGACTTCAACTTGCAGGTCACGGTAGGAGGATTGAATTCAAAAGTTCACTCGAGAAAGATCTCGTTCCAAGAGAATTCGTGCAGCAAAAGTCTAGTCAATTTGCTAAAATCTAAGCAAGAATTTCAATACGGTGGGTATCCCCATGGAGAATTTCAACTCGTGAAGAAATGACACCGTCAGCAAATGCATTGACATAGTTTGTGACTGGGAGATTTGTTCGTGTATTTTAGAGCCGAATGCAGAACTCAGAATTCAGTTCGCTTGCCTGTATTCATAATAATGACATTGAACTCATAGGATGTTGCCCAATTGCTCAGGAAAGTTTTTGTTCTATCTGTTAACAGTTTAATTTTGGCGCCTTCAACATTGCTCTCGCTACTGAGAGTGTGCATCCAAAGCTTGGTTGCCTGAAAAGCTGTGTAAAAGATTTTCACCATATCCGGATGACAATCATAGTCAGAAAACAGAAGTTCGAGAGAACAATGCCACTTTTAACTAATTGATGTTATGATCTACTGTTGATTCTACAAATTAACCATAACCTGCACATATCTGAGATGTCCGACTTGGCCACCAGTTGTAAGTTTGGTGAGACTGAACTATATGAAACATACTTGATCCTGCCATGTTCTATTACTATTCCGAATCTAGTCATCTCAGCCTCACAAATGTTCTACTATTGCCCAATGTTATATCTCCTTAATTTTGGTGCGGCCATAACATTCACTGTTTTCACGCACCGGAAATTGTCATGCATCCAAGTTCTGCATTGGGCATAGACATGGCTTCTCAAGCTTCTGTTATTGACAAATTTTGAAGAAGAAACCTTCGAAAAACGAGATGGGCTTCCTGCGGCAAATCACTTTTTTAAGGCTTTCAATTTTCGCAGGATGTTGAACACCAGCAAAATGAGCTGTTCTGGCAGTACTAACACTACAAAAAAACAAGAGTTTTCCAACGAAATTTCCAACGAAAAATTCGTCAAAATTCGTTGGAAAACGAATTTCCAACGAATTTTGCGATGAAAAAAAATTCGTTGGTAATTAGTCATCGCAAATTTTTCCGACAAAAAATTTAAATTTTCGTTGGTAATTTGCAACGAAATTTTTTCGTTGGAAAAATTTCGTTGGAAAAATTCTTTGGAAAAATTCGTGGGAAACATTCGTTGGAAAGTTCGTTGGAAAATTCGTTAGTAATAATTCGTTGGAAAAAACGTGGCAAAATTCGTTGGTAATTTCCAACGAAATTAGTGACGAAAAAAAATTTGAATTTTCGTTGGTAATTTCCGACGAAAATTAATTCGTGGCAAATTTCGTCGCTAAAAATCATTGGAAAAATTCGTTGCAAAAATCGTTGGAAATCCGCGAAATTTTCCGACAAAAAAATACAATTCTTGTTGGTAATTTCCGACGAAAAACAAGTTCGTTGGAAATCTCGAATTTTTCGGAAAAACAATTTTTTTTTTACTTTCCAACGAAAAAAAGATTCGTTGGAAATCGCGAATTTTTGCGACAAATAATTTTCGGTGATAATTTCCAACGAAAAAAAAAAATTCGTTGGAAATCCCGCATTTTTCCGACAAACAATTTTCGTTGGTAATTTCCGACGAAAACAAAATTCGTTGGAAATCCCTCCTATTTCCGACAAACAATTTTCGTTGTTAATTTCCAACCAAAAAAAAAATTCGTTGGAAATCCCCAATTTTTCCGACAAAAAAATTTTGTTGGTAATTTCCGACGAAAAAAAATTCGTTGGAAATCCCTCATATTTCGGACAAGAAATTACAATTTTCGTTTTTAATTTCCAACGAAAAAAAAAATTCGTTGGAAAACCCGAAATTTTCCGACAAAAAAATACAATTCTCGTTGTTAATTTCCGACGAATAAAAAAATTCGTTGGAAATCCCCAATTTTTCCGACAAAAACTTTTCTTTGGTAATTTCCGACGAAAAAAAATTCGTTGGAAATCCCGAATATTTCCGACAAAAAAATTTTCGTTGTTAATTTCCGACGAATAAAAAAATTCGTTGGAAATCCCCAATTTTTCCGACAAAAAATTTTCGTTGGTAATTTCCGACGAAAAAAATTCGTTGGAAATTCCTCATATTTCCGACAAGAAATTACAATTTTCGATTTTAATTTCCAACGAAAAAAAAAATTCGTTGGAAATCCCGCATTTTTCAGACAAACAATTTTTGTTGGTAATTTCCGACAAAAAAAAAATTCGTTGGAAATCCCGAATATTTCCGATAAGAAATTACAATTTTCGTTTTTAATTTCCAACGAAAAAATAATTCGTTGGAAATCGCGAATTTTTCCGACAAACAATTTTTGTTCTTAATTTCCCACGAAAAAATCATTCGTTGGTAATTTCCGACGAAAAAACAATTCGTTGGAAATCCCGAATATTTCCGATAAGAAATTACAATTTTCGTTTTTAATTTCCAACGAAAAAAAAATTCGTTGGAAATCCCGAATTTTTCCGACAAACAATCTTCGTTGGTAGTTTCCGACGAAAAAAAAATTCGTTGGAAATTTCGAATATTTCCCACACGAAATTACAATTTTCGTTTTTAATTTCCAACGAAAAAAAAACTCGTTGGAAATCCCGAATTTTTCCGATAAACATTCTTCGTTGGTAGTTTCCGACGAAAAAAACATTCGTTGGAAATTTCGAATATTTCCCACACGAAATTACAATTTTCGTTTTTAATTTCCAACGAAAAAAAAATTCGTTGGAAATTGCGAACTTTTCCGACAAACAATTTTCGTTGGTAATTTCCGGCGAAAAAAAAATTCGTTGGAAATCGGGAATTTTTCTCACAAACAATTTTCGTGTTAATTTCCAACGAAAAAAAAATTCGTTGGAAATCTCGAATTTTTCCGACAAACGAATTTTCGTTGGTAATTTCCGACAAAAACAAAATTCGTTGGAAATTTCGAATATTTCCCACAATAAATTACAATTTTCGTTGTTAATTTCCGACGAAAAAAAAATTCGTTGGAAATCGCAATTTTTTCCAACAAAAAATAGCAAGTTTCGTTGGTAATTTCCGACGAAAATTTAATTCGTTGGAAAAATAATATATAAATTCATCCTTATTCGTTGCAAAAAATCGTGGGAAATCCGCGAAATTTTCATCCAAAAAATTAAAATTTTCGTTGGTAATTTCCAACGAAAACAACATTTGTGGGAAAATACGTTGCAAAATTTGACGCTAATTATTCGATGCAAAAATCGTTGGAAATTCGATTTTTTTCCATCAAAAAAATTCAATTTTCGTTGGTAATTTGCAACGAAAGCTATTCGTGACAAAATTCGTCGCTAAGTTTGCGATGAATTTTGTTTAGCGACAATTTCGATTTTAAATCTAATTATTATCAATATTAATTTTTTTTTGGTAAGAAAGCAATATTAATTTCTACAATGCATAAGTTGCAAAGTCTCATATGATGATATTCGATTTTCAATCTCATAATACGAAGAGGCAGCTAAGCACTAATGAACATCAGGTAATACATTCAAAATATTGAAAGAACGCGGGACAACCATAAAAACATTGGCAGTTTTGGTACTCGAGAATGAACTAGGAATGACTGACAATAAAATCATCAGCATCATCATCATCATCATCATCATCACCATCACCATTCGCCGCATCATTTTGTGGCTCAGCATTATGCCCATCATCAATTGGATTAATATGAGGTAGAGGAGGAACCTCATTGCGATCGATGTCGAGATGTCGCATGACAATTTGCATTTGTTGTTGCATCACCCTTATTTGTTCGTCCTTCCGTCCAAGTAAATACTTCATTTCTTCGTCCTTCCGACAAGCAATCGTCTTGAGTTGGCTCAATTCTTGGGTTATATGCTCCTCATGTCGTGTCCTCCTTGAAACAGCTGCATTGGAGGATGAAGTTGCACCAACCTTCGATTTGTACATCCTTGACAAGGATCCCATCCCAAATATTTTTCCTCCTTTCATCCCAGTGCCTCCACCCATAATGCCATACTGTCAACCGATGGCTCAGACACAGCACGACCATCACCACCATCACCACCACCATCACCACCATCACCACCACCACCATCACCACCATCACCACCAGCAGTGCTCATTAAAAGTTCATCATATTTTTCCTATATTAACATTATAGATGGAAATAAAATAAATTCATATATATTACCATAAATATTAAAACATTCATGATTTTCATTCTAGTTTCCTATAAGTCCGAACTATAACCTTACATACCTTAATAGCTTTTGCTCGAGCGCCAGTCCATGTCTTATCTTTTTTTTGGAATGTGCGTTCAAATGTAGCTGTAAAAGTGGGTTCCGTCCCCAATTCATCTCGCCTACAAAATATAAACATAAATGACTAATCATTACATTAAATGCACCGACATGTATAAACAGACTTACCATTCTTCTTTTATGCTCCCGATGCTTGATAGAGCCCCCAAAGATATGTGGCGACCAGACCGTCACTAGAACTAGAAGCTCGATTCTTCTTGTTCTGTTCACCCCTTAGCTTATACTTCTCAGTTTCCCAAGTTCTTGTAATTTCCGTCCAATTGTCAGTTGTAAAAAAGGTCGGCTTTTCATTTTTTCTCTTTGCTCTATTTATCACATATCGCATGTGATCACCGATTTTCTTCTTGAAAATTCTTTTAACCTCATCCTCTTCCATTTCATCCCACGTGAACTTACGCTACAATTAATAGAAAAACAACTGAAAATTATCCACTAGGGTCACATGTCACATATCCATTACAATGTACCAGACAATTCGTGACAAAATTCATTATTGACCATCAGTATGCTACACCGAACTTAGTTTGTGAAGAAAGACAACACTAACCTTAAACTCATTCCACCACAAAGTCTTTACTTCGGAGCGCCTGCTAAAAGTAATAAACTGGCCCATCCAATGGTTATTGACTATTTTATTCGGTTCCCTCACAACATGCGTAGAATCCGTGAATCTGAAAACATGTTATAACAATACGGACAATGAGACAATGAAGCATATGGATAATTCGCAACATGAACAATTTTATTTACATCGATAATTTATATATACGTAAAAAAATGAAGTACTTACGAATCTCCACATGGGCATATAATGAATCGGGTATCTTCTTCATCATTCGAGTGTTGCACTGAAGAAGAAAGTGGAACCGAAGGAGATCGAACCGGAGATGGAACTGAAGTAAATTCAGTTCGCATGTCCCGAGATTCTACCCTAATATGTTGTTGAGGGTCGAAGGATGGGCCAATGTGTTCGTGTTGTCCATGAACATGTTGTGGTTGAGGGTTACATAAAAGGGCAGGGGAAGAGGACAGGGTCGGGGACGAGGACGAGCCAGCGGAAGGGGCTAATCTTCTTTGCGAACCCGAACCACGCAGGAGACCTCCACGTTTAAACTGACAAGTAGGAAGGTTAGACAAATATATTTAAAAATATAAACATATATTAGGGACTGAAAATGACATTAGCCATTTTGCTTACCATTTTGTTTAATAGAGCAATAAATAAAC